CATTAACAGGTGACAATATGAATATAAGTCAATAATATACGGTTATTTTTAAGAATCATTTTATAAAAATAGAATTTCTACATGTCGACTATTTTTTAATGAAAGTTTATACCAAGTTAAATTTATATTTAATTTTAATTTATTTTATAATCAACTTTTTTTTAATGTTCTATAATGTATATTTTCTAAACAATAATTATGAGTAAATTATTGTTTAGAAAAAAATGGAACATTAGTTCTGTTTATGGGAACAATTATTATTATTATAATTAACATTCTCACTTTCATATAATGTTAAATCGTTAATGTTTTTCAAATCAACTAATTAAAGAAAAATATTTTTATAGTAGTTAATTTTTATTATTGAAATAAATAATATTTTATTTTATTTCACTTTAAAAAATATTTGAAGCTATACTATAAATAATAGAGATCTAATATATTTCTCAAATTAATTTATAAATTGACAAAAAAAGAAAAAATATGATAACAATTTCTAGGAATTGTTTTTGTTTATAATCATGATAAATAATTATTTATCATTTTCTGCGAAGCTAATAAATTTTTCGAGTTTTTATGAAAAAAAAATATATTTTTCGTGTTATATAATATAGTTTATATTAAGAAATCAAAATAAAAAATAGTGCATTATATATCTCTATATTTGTGAGCATCTTCTTTTCTCATCATTCGCACATTTCATTCCAATAAATCGGAGCAACTTTAGAAAAAATTTAGAATTTCAAAAATAAACATCAGAAGAAATCAAGTTCTCTGAACCTATATAAATGATTATTTTGAAGAAAAAAATAAATTTTACTATTAAACCGTGGCCAACTGCGTAAAACTTAATGAAAAATATTTACGATCTCAATTTATAATTAATGCAAAATTTGTATAATTAATATATAAATTAAGAAATATATATTTCAAAATAAAAAATACTAAACTTATCGTTGATTGAAACATTCAAAACAACAAGAGTGTTTATAAATAAAACTTGGAAGGAAAAGAATATAAAAAAAAAATTTCAGGATATACAAATATATAGAAATAAAATATGGAAGAACCTAATTAGCCAATCCGGATTATTAAGTAAATGTTTCATTTATGACTTAGCCCGTTGTCTAATAAAAAATATAAAAATTTCAAATATGAGAGTATAAGGTGAGGTGTGGAGATGAAAAAAAAAAAAAAAAAAAAGTTGCATCGCTTGACACCCTCTTAACTATAGAAGTGAAAAACCAGTTTTCGTGACTAATCTATGCAGATCCTTAAGTAACAGTGGCTCTGCTGCTGTTGATAAAGTCGACACGAACACAGTTTACCGAAGAGTGGCTAGATATTTTGAAAAGGTGCTCTTATCCGGATATACCAGAGGAGGACTTCTCTTATATATGATCGGATATAAATACAAGTACCTACATGATACGTTGATTTCTCGATATTTCAAGAAGAATATATATATATACTCGAGACATGATTTATTATTTTAATCAAAGTTGAAGATTCTCTGCGGCTTTGACGTCATTGTGAAATTTCAGATTAAAACCATAAGGAAGATATTATAAATATACACCTAAAGGAGGTGTGTTCTCATTTAAGGACCAAAAAAATTTCTCAAATTCAAACATTTTTGAGAAACCTGATTTTACTATCCAAAAATTCAATGTGATGGAATATCTATAGCAATAAGAATGTTTTAATTTACTTTAAAAAGTATAAGGGGTAATAATAATAATTCACAGTTAACTTGTTTGTATCTTTTTCTATTGCAACGTTTTGATGCACATAAGTTATATCAAAAAGAGATCGTTTTGTGTATCATTTTTAGAAATGATACACGAAACGGTCTCATTTTTTGATGCAAAAAAATTTAATCAATTTATATCAATCATGGCCGAATTGAATCGATTCAAAATTAAACGAATTTTTTTCAGATATTTTGGTAATAGTACAATTGCGGAGACCATTTCATTATTTAATTTGAAAATGAAAATAACAGATAATCAAAGACAATGTGCAATTCGATAATTAAAAAGTGACAGCTTATAAACATAACCTAAAATGCATGAGAAAAAATTTGTCGATAAAATCAATATAGCCGAGCTTTTTAGAAGGTAAATGGCAGCACTCATCTATTTACTTTCTTTAAATTTTTTCTGAATCCAGTTTTTCTTTTTCCTTTGACAATTTTTTAGCTATTCCAACCTTTTTATTTCCATAACTGCAATCAGTTAAGCTACACTAAAAGAAATGCTTTGGAGGGAATTGACAAATAAATATGACTGGGGTTTTGTTTTGAACTGGCGATAAAGTTAGGTTATGTTACCCACTTTTTTGTTGACTTAAACATCTAATATGTATGGAACGCCATTATGTATGGCTGAATTACCTATATAAAATATAGCTGTATCCAAATAGCTGTTTACCAATTCATTATGGGAAAACTAGGAATAATTCTAGCTGTACCAACAAATTATTTCTTTCAGTATAAGCAATTTCTTTTCTTCGTCATCACCTATATAATTCAACAAACCAACCTTTCGCAACTTCACAATTTTTAACGTAGTGTTCTAGACAATCCCAATTCTTATATAAAAAAATTTATATATTTCTTCGTCCAACCAATATTTTCTATAATTTTCAAAATTAATTTCCAACCTTATTATCTGTTAAATACTTTGGCCTTTCATTGTTTTCTTTGATAACCCTATACCTATGTTTTTACTTTGACGTATAGGGGATAATATAAAAAAAAATCTTATTCAGAGATATATAAATAATAAAATGTTTAGTAGAAAAATTACCTTACTCGAATTTGAAAATTTTGTTTAAAGAGAGCAATATTTGAAAACTGACATTTTGATATCTAGACCTAGGTCATGAAAAATAACACCTGTCGTTGAAAGAAGATTAAAGCGCCATCTCTTTGTTTGTGTGGCGAGAGCTCTGAGAAGTTTATCGTCGCGCAGGTAGATTCCATTGAGATCGGTAAATAGTGTGAAAATTCATGAGAAGATATTCCGGAATTCAATAGGATTGGCGAATGAGAGAGTGTCATATCGACCGGCCGGCCGGTACGTATATAGTTTTACTATCTTTTCAGAAAATATTGCACTTTCAAGAGTTACGTACTTGCGTTTATACTTTGATTTTATATACATATATATATATATGATTGAAAAAGACCTTTTAAATGCACGAGCGTGGCAGTTCGAGGAAATACTTTGTCAGAATTACGCACCTATGGATTACAAAGGTTAAAGAAGCCTTAAAAATGATTTTCAGTTATGTGTAAAGGTCACAGGAAATTTTCAATGTCTTCCTAACGGCTTTTCAATAAAAAAAAAAATATAAAATGTCTAATATTTTTAAAAAATATTTTATTTTAGTTTTTAAATTATAATAAGTTTGCATATACCAACCTAAAATCATTATAGACGATTGATATAAATAAATGTTTCAATAGAAAACAATCTCTACAAGCATTAAACGGAAAAAAAATTACTATAGTTAATTGCGCAAAGGAGGTGAAAATTTTCTCCTTCAATTAGCTGTTAATAATAAAATTATATACAGCTATAATAGCAAAATTTGTTAAACAAACGTTCTATAACTCATCTCATATAATATTAAAAAAATATGTTATTATATCAAGCAGTTAATTGCCAGATTTATATTTAAAATTAAAATCTATTCAAAACTTTTATAAATTTTCCAACTCAAATTTGAATTGTATGAGAAAAATATTTATTTAAATCAGACAAATATCACGAGACTTTAAACTCCCAAGAGTAATCAAAATGGAAAAGACAAAATTTACACAGCAATAAAAGTTTTCCCTTTTTAATATTTTTTGTTCTTTTATTCAAAAAAGAAATGTTCCAATCCGTGTGACAATTTTTTCCATGTCATCAAAATAAAAAAAAACAAAAATTTTAATAAAAAAGCTGAAAATTACCCTTTATTTACTAATAACTACTTTAAAATTACTTTACAAACATTAATAAAAAAAAATTTTATTTCACAAATAGAAAATTTAACCAATAATAATACTTTTGACGAATACAAAAAACCGAGCATAAAACTTACATATCACAAACAGATATCAAAAAAACGATATTTCTCTATGCATTGATTGTAATAAAAAAAAAAATCGATTTTTAACAACCTGCCCGGAATAGGCCACCACTACTTACAGTCGTCAATGGCAAAAACGAGGATAACATTTTTTGGACCAGGTGGTGTCTCGGATTCCGCCAGCTTATTTTCCTCGCAACTCTTTATATTAAAATTCTATCCTGAAAAAATGCATCCATCTTTTATAGAACGAAGAAGCTATTATATATATATAAAAGGCCGCATCAGTATACTAAAGCTTATATTCGTTATATGACATTAAAACTACTCTAATTATCACGAACTAGAAAAAACAATCAAACAAACACAAAATACTTCAACAACCAAGGAAGGCATTTAATTTCACGATAATCAATGTGTATATTTACGTATCATTATATTGGCTGTGTTCCATAATTTGCTAAAATACAAGGGAACCTTGAACGTCATAACAAAAATTCAAGGCCCTAATTAAATACTCGGAATTTATTTATTCTATTTTTTTAATAATAAAATTGTTATTTTAAAACTTTATATATATATATTCCAAAATCAAACAGTCTTTACAAAATTTTTAATAAAAACAGGAAGAGAATATAAAGTTTATCGGAAAATTAAATCGGCTTCGAGGAAACTTCAACAATAACATTATTATAGAGAAGAAACGAAATTCTATATTTAGTTTCCCATGGACAATTTCTGACATAAGCACTGAACACGAAAATATTCTAAACTACTTACTCAAAGAGTTTTAAAGAGAAAGAGAACGAGAGAAATAGTATTAAATATAAAAAATAAAATTAGAAAAAGAAAGAGTTGGTTGGGGGGGAATAATCAAAATTTGGAATTTCCCCTTTGAATTTTTTCTTTTCGCACACAATTAAAAACTTCGAATGGCACAGGGTCACTGAAACGTAGTCGGATATGTCGCGTTCAAAGATGCACACACGCGTTCGTGGATCCTATCTAATTTATTCTATTTTTTGCAACTGTTTACTACAGAGACAAAGACATGTGTTTAACATCTGGTCTACGTGTCGCAATCACGGTATGTGCTCGAAAATAGCGCCCAACGAGATCGCGTGGGTGGCCGTAAAAGCGCAGAATGCGCGCGCATCTTACACACACACACACACACAACAATCATAATTGTTTTACCGACTGATTAAAATAAGAAGCTATAATGAATAAAGGGAATTCCCGTTAGAATGCGCCACTCGCTATCTTTACGTGCTGCCATCTTGTTAAACAATTTGCAAACAGTGCCACAGAAAAAAAAAAAAAGTAGAAACTCAATTTTGCAACGCGATTAAAAAAACATGAGAGAATTAATTTAAAAATAAAACAATCTTTCTTCAAATCGCAATAAGGCATTTTTAGATTTTACTGAACTACTTTCATAAAATATCAATTTGTGAGCTACTTAAGAAATTTTTTATAATATTAAATAATTACATTTTCTAACATAATTAATGTGCCTGAAGAGGTTCTCTGAACGTTCAACGATGAAAAATTTATTTACTACTTTTTAACTTCAAATTTTATTATAAAATATTACCTTCTGTATCCAAAAATAAATTAATTTATTAAATGTTTATATTTTTCATTGCTGTAGTAATTTAAAAAAAAATTATTTCTTTCATTTGAAAGAAAAATATTAAATAATTAAATATATGTAGCAATTTAAAATATTACACATAATAAGTACAACTACAATTAAACTAATTAAAATGACTATCATTTTCAAAATATATTATACAATATCTGAACGGACAACGCAAATAATCACAAATTCAAATGCAATTACTGCGGCAATAATATATTTCTTTTAAGGTAGAAAAAAACGAATCTTTTTTGCTAAACTATAGTTAATAGAAAACACACCTGAAACAAATTAGAATCAAATCAACAAGTTTTTATTCATTTTATAATCAAAGAAGGCAGAAATATTAGGACGCATAATTATGTTCTAAAAATCGTTCATTAGAATTTTCATTTTATCGAATTTTATTATTGTCATAATTATTTTTGAGCCGAATTTTTATTTGTTCAAATTTGTATTTTGCAGAATTTTCATCAAAACGATTTTCTATATTACAGAATTTTTATATAACCGAAAATTCACTTCACAGAATTTTTATTTGCTGGAATTTTCATTTAACATAATAGGCATTTTAAAGAATTTTTATTGGGTAGAATTTCATTATTTGATATAATTTCCATATATAACCGATTTTTTCATACTGCAGAATTTTTAATGATGCTGAAGGCCGCAACGTTTTCAAAAAAAAAAAATGAAAAAATAAGTGGATGATATTTATTACTTTGGCTTAAAATTAAAGTTATTGGGAGGTTAACTGGCTTCTATTTTAAATTTTCGTTTTTGAAAACGTTATGGACTTTAGGCTCATAAATTTTACTTAACCGAAAAATCATTTAACATAATTTTTAATTGATAGAATTTTCATTTGTCCGAAATTGCAAATATAAATAAATTATAACTTCTTATGAGCCAAAAGTTTTGAACGTTCAAATGAACGAAATTTTTTTTTGTAACTTCTTTAAGTACGAATTTTATTACAAAATATTGTTTTAAATATCTAAAAAGAAGTTATTAATTTAATATTTGTTTAATTTACTGTTTTATTTTACATTGACATTATAATTTCTAATAATTTATAGATTGAAAAAAATATTTTGTTCATTTGAACGTTCAAAACTTTTGGCTCATAACTTCTTACTGGAAAAAAAAGAATCTGTAACACAGCGAAGAAAAGTCCTTTGTCGTATAAACATATAATATATATATATATATAGGTAATAATAATATGGCAGAGCACAAGAATGTCATGTTCTTTTGAATGAAAAAAATTATGTAAATCATTTCGATTGCAGTGAACGAAAAAAAAATTATGTCAAGGAAAAAAAATTGCTGTATATTGCGGTTTTGAATAAATTTCAAATAATAATTGAAAAATACATTTTTTAAAATAGCTATAAAGTTTTGTGATCTCAATATTGAGATTTTGATTTCTTGTCTATATTTATATAGAAAAAAAAACCAGAGCAATATCATTTGCATAATATATGTATTGTAAATGTTTAAATTATAATATAGAATAAGATAGTGATTAATCTGTAATGAAAACAAGCGCAACTACATAAATGACACACAGGAATATAATTTCATCTTACATTATGAAAATCAAAAGTGATATTCCGTGTACGAGAGAAAAACAAGGAACTGCATATTATAACGAAAATGATCCTATTAGAATTTGAGAAGAAAGTACACCTGACACTGACATTGACCGTAATTTAGATATATACAAATTCCCCAATATAATATGTATATTATAACAAACAGAACAAAAGTCTTGTTAACCCATTTGCAACGATTTATATTTTCCGAATGATAGATAAATATTAAAAGTATTTAATTAAATTAAATTGAGAACACTTCAAGTTGTAAAAATTAAAATTTTTCAAGAGATTTATAATTCCGTTGGACTTAACAATATATATGAATGAAAGATAACATATTTATTCAATACAAACTTTATAGCGTGAGCGTTAAAATTATTGTACTTATTTATATTAATAATAATTTGAGTCTAGTTTGGTACAACCTTGACGGAAAAAATAAAAAGAAAAAAAACTAAAGACGATGCCCTAAGATTTTGGCTGTTGACCAGATTTTATGTCATTTTTGAAAGCACCTTTTAGTCATTCATCATTACATTAGAAACTATACAGAGAGTATATACAACTTCAAGGAACTCGCCTACAAATATGAAGACAGACTTCTTTTGACCTCAATCAATGCCAGTATCTTGACCTTAATAGACGTTCCACAGGAAAAATAGAAAAGCGTCCGTTAAATATCAATAGTAACATGAAAAAGTAGTTCTAAAGTATATTTAATCACTCCCCATAAATAGAAGTAAACTGAAATTTTTATTTAATCAAATTAATAGAATTTCTATATTTAGTCGAATATTTCGAATTTGTTAGAATTTTTACGAAGCTGAAGTATGCAACATTTATGATAAACGATTTTTAAAGAAATAATTTTTTAAAATGAAAAATTGTATAATGTTTTGCCTAAAAAATATTTTATTATAATTTGTTAATTAATGAAAACTACAAGAAATATTTTTTAGGCGAAAAATTATAGAATTTTTCATTTTAAAAAATTAATTCTTTAAAATCGTTTATCATAAACGTTTCGTACTTCAGCTTCATACTTCAGCTTAACAATTTTTATTATTTATCAAAAGTTCTTATATTCACGTGCAGTCAATTTCATAGTGGAAGCCTCCTACTTTACCGACGGTACATAGATTGGAAACTCATATAAAATTTTTTATATTTTATTAATAATTCTATCTAAATTAAAATTCTACTAAATTCTAAAATGGTTATTCATATAAATTCTATATTGAAAATTCCGCTATATATAAATAGAAATTTTATTATACAGGGAAATTCTAAATAAAAATTCTATTAAATTCAATATGAGAAATTTGAATAGAACTTTTGTTAAATAAAATCGCGTTTTAATATAAAAATTTCTCGTTGTATAAAACCTAATAAATTTCTATCTATTTTGAAAATTCGACCCTCTGTTCATAATGAGTTTATAAAAAAAACTTTATAGTCTCTCATCAGAGATTCATATTTTCTGTTTACTCAAAAGCAAAAAAAAAATTATGTTTCTCAAGAGCAAATATAAACTGGATATCTCGCACATCAAGTGTACAATAGAGATGATTTACAACTTGAAGAAGCAGTGTGATGTTTGTGTTTGTCGGCTTGTAAACGGGATTTCAAGTATTTTACACGTGACAAGTGGAGTCGGTCAGGTAAATGTGTCGCATGTTTTGAAGAAGGAGGATACTATGTATATATATAGTTATACAGTTCTCCATATAGTAGAGGAAGTGATCATATGTTACTCCAGTTTGGTATTTCTCTTGTGTATCCTTCGTTCTGTCAAAACGACACTCCCGGACAGCTGGGTCGCATTTTCCCTACTGTTCCCTATATATGAGGCAGTATTTATCAGCTGACGACGAACTTAACAATATCAACAGACTCCGTTTAATTACATATAGTATATGGCTTTTCGTAAATATAAAGATATATAACAAGCGCGATAATTTTCCAAAATAATGAGTCCAAACAACCAAGGAAAGAAAATCCAAAAGTTTTTCTGTATAAAATAGCTTGATATTTGGTAAAAATTAAATTCTATTTTAGAAAAGAAAGGGACGCATGATTATGTTTTAAAAATAATAAGTTAAAATTTTCATTTTATGGAATTTCATTTGTCATAATTTTTTTTAAGCCGAATTTTTATTTATTCGAATTTGTATTTTGCAGAATTTTCATCAAAACTATTTTCTATATAACAGAATTTTTATATACCGAAAATTTACATCACAGAATTTTTATTTGCTGAAATTTTCATTTAACATATTAGGCATTTTAAAGAATTTTTATTGGGTAGAATTTCATTGCATAGAATTTTTTTTCAGATGAATTTTCATTTGTTCCAATTATTATTTGATATATAATTTCCATATAACTGATTTTTCATACTACATAATTTTTACTTTAACCAAACATCATTTAACAGAATTTCTAATTTATAGAATTTTCATTTGTCCTATATTGCAAATGACCGAACAAACAATCGACAAAAAGATTTCGGATGAGCCAAAAGTTCTGAACGTTCAAATGAACGAAATATTTTTTTTAATCTATAAATTATCAAAAATTATGATGTCAATGTAAAATAAAACAGTAAATTAAACAATTATTAAAATAATAATTTCTTTTTAGATATTTAAAACAAAATTTTGTAATAAAATTCGTACTTAAAGAACGAAGCTGAAGTACGCAACGTTTATGATAAACGATTTTAAAGAATTAATTTTTTAAAATGAAAAATTCTATAATTTTTCGCCTAAAAAATATTTCTTGTAGTTTTCATTAATTAACAATTTATAAAAAAAAATTTTTGAGGCAAAACATTATAGAATTTTACATTTTAAA